TATTGGCCTGCCCCATATTTTAGGAAATTAATATATTATATATATATATATATATATAAGCATTTCTTAAGGGAAGGAACAAAAACTTTAATTAGGGTTTCAGAGAGCAGCATAGATGAGCATAAGTAAGTGAGTGAAAGGGAAGAGAAGCACTGAGGGGAGGGCCGCCCGAGCCATCTTAGTCTTAGAGCATTGGACCACCATTTATATATTATGTGACAAACACAATTACACATTTAATAATCTATAATGTCGAATTTACACCTATTAACATTATGTTTATTCAGTACGAACAAGGCCAAAATGATAATTTTTTGTTTAATATCAACTTGACCCCCCACAAGCTTTAGTTTTACTTGGAGATCACATCACATCAGGCTCCATTTGAAACTTCCCATGCCCTATTCTCCAACCCATTACCCTTTGTCCCCATTCCACAAATTGAAAGTGCAAAAAATTAAAATAAATTTCAAGCAAAAAGCAGACGTGAGACTCTAGCAACTTCTTCCAACTTCTTCTTTTTCTTTTCTTTTATTCCTTTTAAGGTCCGTTTGGAAGTGATTTTGATAAGGATAAAAATAAAATTCAAGCAAAAAGCAGACGTGTAACTTTAGCAACTTGTTTCTTTTTCTTTTCTTTTATTCATTTTAATAAATCAAATTGGTCGTTTTCGTTGTTAATTATTTTAAATGGAAAGCCAAGTCAGACTGAACTAGCTAACAATTTATGGTCGAGAAGCGACTGCAACTAGTGATCTGATGACATCTTGTTAATAATAAGAAAGTGAACGGAGGTGGAAGAAAATGAAAGGGAAAAAAAGGGGGCGTTGGGTTTGGGTGGCCGCACTGCATCTTCTTCAACAGTCGACAGAAAACTGCTCATATGGATAATGAATAAATTTAGGGTTTTACTGAGAAAAGAAAAAGGCGGTGATTAATAATTAATGATGAGGAGTCAGAATCACTCGTGTGTTTTTGGAACAGTTGTTGCAACTTGCATGTCCGGATAACTTGAATATGACATGATGTCTTAGTTACAGCCTTTTTAAGGCTCTAAAAAACCTTTGACCACTGCTTTGCTCTGCTCTCTATCGATATCTCTCCTTCCTTCCTTCCCCAACTTGGCCAATTTCTTCACGTTTTCCTTCTTTTCTTTTCTCACAACATATCTCGTCGCATTGGATCGGTTATCACGGCCAAATGAAATACAATATAACACTTTGGTTTGGTTTGATTTGATTTAGTTGGGTTCAGTTTTACAGTAGAATTTGTCATTTATACATACTTTAACCAAAACCCTTGAAGTTGAAGGAGTTTTAGATCACTGTTCAATTATCAGATTCTAAACTTATTGGTCTTGATTTTTGTCTGTGATGACCAGGCCAGGTCAACTAATAGTATGTGCGGTAGGTAGAGTGCCTTGGAATCTCAGATGAAAGGACAGAAATTCAAATTTAAATTGCATCTATATTTCTCATCCAGGATAATAATACACATTCAGGATTCATTCATCAGTGCAGGTTTTGTGTGCCTCTCGATCGAACCCCACCAATTCTCCTCTCTAAAATGAGAAACAAACAAATAAAATAGCACCTAATTTTCTTTTCATTTCTGCAGCAGATATATTATTTTAGCCACCACCACCACCACCACCTAGATATATCATATACATGCCTTCAAAATTGAGTCATTATTATATGTTATGTGTCAACTTTCTTTCGTTTGGATATAAGAATTCATGACCAAAACCAATACGTAGCAGCTGAAAGAAACCAAATATCCCCTGCCCTATCAATCATTTAGGGTCATCGTCACCGTCACTCACAATATATATTAATCAAAATCAAAGGCAATATTAATTATTAATCTTGGGTCGTCAATCAGTATTGTTCTTTATTATTGGCCTGCCCCATATTTTAGGAAATTAATATATTATATATATATATATATATATAAGCATTTCTTAAGGGAAGGAACAAAAACTTTAATTAGGGTTTCAGAGAGCAGCATAGATGAGCATAAGTAAGTGAGTGAAAGGGAAGAGAAGCACTGAGGGGAGGGCCGCCCGAGCCATCTTAGTCTTAGAGCATTGGACCACCATTTATATATTATGTGACAAACACAATTACACATTTAATAATCTATAATGTCGAATTTACACCTATTAACATTATGTTTATTCAGTACGAACAAGGCCAAAATGATAATTTTTTGTTTAATATCAACTTGACCCCCCACAAGCTTTAGTTTTACTTGGAGATCACATCACATCAGGCTCCATTTGAAACTTCCCATGCCCTATTCTCCAACCCATTACCCTTTGTCCCCATTCCACAAATTGAAAGTGCAAAAAATTAAAATAAATTTCAAACAAAAAGCAGACGTGAGACTCTAGCAACTTCTTCCAACTTCTTCTTTTTCTTTTCTTTTATTCCTTTTAAGGTCCGTTTGGAAGTGATTTTGATAAGGATAAAAATAAAATTCAAGCAAAAAGCAGACGTGTAACTTTAGCAACTTGTTTCTTTTTCTTTTCTTTTATTCATTTTAATAAATCAAATTGGTCGTTTTCGTTGTTAATTATTTTAAATGGAAAGCCAAGTCAGACTGAACTAGCTAACAATTTATGGTCGAGAAGCGACTGCAACTAGTGATCTGATGACATCTTGTTAATAATAAGAAAGTGAACGGAGGTGGAAGAAAATGAAAGGGAAAAAAAGGGGGCGTTGGGTTTGGGTGGCCGCACTGCATCTTCTTCAACAGTCGACAGAAAACTGCTCATATGGATAATGAATAAATTTAGGGTTTTACTGAGAAAAGAAAAAGGCGGTGATTAATAATTAATGATGAGGAGTCAGAATCACTCGTGTGTTTTTGGAACAGTTGTTGCAACTTGCATGTCCGGATAACTTGAATATGACATGATGTCTTAGTTACAGCCTTTTTAAGGCTCTAAAAAACCTTTGACCACTGCTTTGCTCTGCTCTCTATCGATATCTCTCCTTCCTTCCTTCCCCAACTTGGCCAATTTCTTCACGTTTTCCTTCTTTTCTTTTCTCACAACATATCTCGTCGCACCACTTGGCCGCTGTGAATTGATCGAGACCGAGTAAATGCTACAAATATTAAGTAATTCTTACTCCATTCCATATATAAATCTTTTCATAAAAGGAAGGAAGCAACTAGGAACCTATGAGAATTCAAATGCCAACACCTGACGACTTTTTTATTTATTGTGTCCACGTCAAGCTTCCTCGAGATGTCAATAAAGCGATAGGCTTTCGCCTAAGTAACTCTGGCTTCTCTTTTTTATATGGAAAATGCTTGTATTATTTTAGATTTTCTTAGTTGAGTAAATACACTTACAACAGTTAAGCTGTGTTGACGGGTTGTTATTGTCCATCGTTGGCCTCTATGGTAGAATCAGTCGGGGGCTTGAGAGGCGATAGTTTATCTCGTGACGGATGTCAGCGGTTCGAGTCTGCTTATCTCCAACTCGCCGAGTTTAGTATTTAGTGAAAAGAACTTCAAAATCGAACTGTTAATGTCAAGTGCGATAATAGTTGGATTCATCAAAATAGTGCTTGGAGTGTTTTTTTGGGAAACAGATGCTAGAGAAAAAAAAAAGTTACTTCAAGTGAAGCAGATGGTAGTGGCCTTGCCTATTGCTTATTTTATCATCTCAATACTATATTGAGATTCAGATTTTATATAGTGGGCCGGGTTTTGTATGATTATAAGTTGTAGCCCAAATTGAATTTCTTGGGCTGAGCACCATTTTAGATGTACAGAAATAAGTGGGCATGGTTGCAACAAGTGTTCAAAGTCGAAGCAGAAAAAACGAAACTTGAGATTAAGACCTACCTTGTTTCATTGATTCTTGTAAATTAAGACCCAATGAACAAAAAGAAAAAGATTTTAAGGAGAAATTGCAAATCAATTATATGCGAAAAGACTACAAAAGAAAGAACGGCAGGGAGGATGATGCAGACAGACAGTTGATGCACCCAGACACCCAAAAAAGGAGAGAGATTCGTGGCTTTAAACGAGACGAGGGAATACATGAATGGTGATAAGGACAATATAGGAGACGAGACACATTGTGATGGTGCCACGTACGTTTGTGGTACCGTACATACACACAGTTGACAGTTGTACCACATGCATGTTTGAGGATAGGATCATCATAGGACAAGCAATGTCGCTCTCAGAATTTAGCAAAACCTGATGCCCTTTGGGTTGTGGCTGTGAACTTGTGATGGTGGACGGTCACAACACAACACAAGCAATGACTTTAACAAAAATCAGACGAGTGGACCATCACCGGCGCATTTTATCTTTGACTAAACCATTAGAAATGAAAAATATGCGAGGAAGCATTACTAAATTTTTATATTGGGTATTCGTAGGTTTAATTGATTCTGATGGCAAGCGCAAGTTCATACGTAACACTTTGGTTGGTAAGAAGCATATTCTTCCAATAATGAGATGCTGCTCTCTCTCTCTCTCCAGTCTGCGCCACCACCGAGAAAGAAACAGATGGCATCTCATCTATTCAGAAAAGGATGGGAATGGCATTTTTATTTCCCATGCCTAGATGGCAATTCTACTTATACCCAATGGCTGGCAAAAATTAATAATAAATAAATTTGTGGTATGCATAAAACTAGCTATTTATTAGTTCCCAAATGAAAAAGGACATAATTTTTTAACAATTCGAAAATGTGGTATTCACGGTTGGAAAATAAGCATGTATAAGAGTAAATGCCCTTAACCACTTGAGCTGCGAGTCCTCACACTAGCAACATGAACTGTACTAATTTTAAAGCTTCTACAACTTAAGTGTTGGCAAACCGTACTGATTCAATAATTGATTGACCAGAAGCCTAACTACTTACTAAAATTAATGTCAGAAACTAAAAAAAATTCCCACCTTGAACACATAATATCAGAAAATTCAAACCTGCAACTTCCATTTAATCATGAAAGAAGTAATCCACTTAATTACGCAACTAAACCGAATCAAAGGTACAGTGCAATTTCCACCATTGCACAACAAATGCAAGCAAACTCCCGAGTTCCAACTATCACTAGAAGATCCTCAAAAGCCATTGGCAAAAATGCCATGGAAAGAAATAACAAACAAACCAATCTGTAATTTATTCGAAAACAAAATACTTGAAAATATTACAGCCCAAAGGATATGGCTGGCTCTATAACTAATGAACCAAACACCAATAACTCAAACAAAACTCTCTCATTCCCCATTAATTTAATGGGAGGAGATCTTGAGATTGAGGGACTTATTGATCCATGCCTTCCAACTCCCACTACCCTTGCGAGTAATTGCAGCCGCTGGTATTTCATCGCTATCCATTTTCACTGGCTGAGGCTTCTTGCATAGCATAAAGTTACGAGCTCCTTGTGCTCCAATTGTGTCCCACGGACTCAGAGCTGCAATGAAATCCAAAAACACCGTCAATAAGCAAGCCTAGAGATATATACATTCAAGAAATGCATAAAAACAGAAGCTGGGTATTTCAATATAATGAACCAATTTCGCATAACCAACACCAAAACAGTATTCAATTTCACAAATTTATGTCCAAACTGAGATGGGTTGTTTCAGTCATGAGAATATAAAAAGGGGTAAGGCTTCAACTCTTAAATTTGATTCAGAAACAAGATTGAATTTTTATGAAATAAGATTATAACGATTTTTGAGAATTCATTACCATCAGGTCCTGCGTTAGGGCAGTAGAGCAGGAAGTCATTAAGATCGGAGCCAAGAACCGGAAGGCGACCCTCACGCGCATAAGATTTCAAGGCGGTATCGATGACGGCAGCGACAAGCTCCTCCTCGTTGACAACGAAGCGGATCGGGCCGGCGCTGCCGAGCACAGTGATGCTGATCAAGAGCCTGTTGCCCTTGGCGCTGTTCGGATTCTTCTTCTGCTTGTACAGCAACATCTTCGTCGTTTCGTAATCGAATTCAAATCAATTAATCAACAGCAAAAAAGGCAGCCAACGCAAAAAAAAATCTAAAAAACTTCCGAGTCCCTCTTTCCCAACAAGTTATTGATCTCAATCAAATAATCAAAAAACCGACGGACGGCGATTAATGAAAATCCGGTGCGATAATCAAAAAGGTTGATGAGAAAGAGGAAATATAGAGATATATGGGACGAAGGGGGTTCAGGGGTCGACGCCGAGGCAGCGGTAGTACCAGCCTTCCTTGCAGGAGCCGAAAGCGAAAGCAGACGCAGCAGAGATCGGGAGAAAAGCGCTCGCCCTTGATTGTAAAAGGGAGCGCATGAAATTACTGATGCTTAAGATTTCCACCATTCACAACTTGCTGGCTTCGAATCAAGAAACAAATTTGAGAAGAGAAGAATTTTGTGGGTTTCTGGGGGGGATCAATCGAAACAGAACGAAAGCGAAAGGAAATTTGGGAATTAGGGTTAGGGTTAGGGTTTGGTTTGGAGCGGAGGCGGCTCTTTCTTCTCTCCAAGAATCAAATCCTGAGTGTATTTGTGAAGGGATGTAATTCTGGGGAGAAGAGCCTGTCGGGGGTTGCTTGCCTTTTATATTTACATTCCGGTTTCCTTCTTTCGTTTGGAATTGTGAGTCGGTTGGGGGTACATTTTACTACCACCGACTTTCCAAATTTACCGCTTCCTTCCTTCTTGTTACCGTTATTCTTGCTGGCGCGTACTCCTTATCGTGTCAGTTTTGACTGCGGCTAAATCAGTAAATAATTAGTGACTAATTCTTTAATATTTTAATGGATTAACTACACTTTAGTCCCTGTAGGTTTAGTGTCAGTATCGAAATGGGCCCCAAGGATTCAATTCAATCAATTTCATACCCGACATTTCAAAGTATTACCAATTTACACCCGCCGTTACATTGACCGTTAAAGTCAGACGTTAAATGCTGACGTGGCAGTCGTGGGACCCACCTCATAACCAAACAGCAGTTAGAAAGAGACTAATATAGGACAAATAATATTAAAAAATTCTTTATTTTTAAAGTTAATTAAAATCAAAATTTTTTTTTATAACATAATTAAAATGACAATAATAATAATATTGATTTTAAAAATATTGTCGGATTGGCAAAATCAAAGAAACTATTGTTAAAATCAATAATACATAATATTGATTGTAAATACATGTATTATTGGGTTTGGATTTAGGTAAATACATGTTATTTTTAAAAAAATCAATAATATTGTTAAAATCAATAATAATAATACATAATATTGATTTTAAAAAACCCTATTGTCAAACCTAAATCCAAACCCAGATCTTCACCACTCATCCCTCTTCCTCTTCCTTCTTCTCTCCACCCATCAAACCCTAAATCCAAACCCAGCATCTCCACCACCCATCCTTCTTCTTCCTCCTTCTCTTCCAACATCCCCACCTTTGTTCCTCACCCACCACCCACCACCTCATTCTCCCTCAGTCCTCTCCTCCTAGCCCCAACCAATACCAGAGCCCTAGCCAATAGATCTGAGGAGGAGATCTGCGCGTCGTCGGAGACGTATGGCAGATTCGGCATATGGGTCTGCGACGACGTCGCTTAGTTTTCAAGGTTGACGATGACCCAACCACCTGTGTTTTCGAGGTCGACAAAGACCTCTCGATTGCCCGGAAATTCGCACCTCCTGATTGCCCCTCCCGATTGCCCATCGCACCTCCCAATCACCCGGAAATTTCTAGCCACTTGCAGATCTGGGTATGGGTCTTGGTGGTGGGCATATGGGTGAATTAGCATAACTGGATTGAACCACATGTGAGA